GAAGTGAAGTAGAGGCCTGAGGATTATATTTTCAAATAGTATATTTATTGAGAAAGTGATATTTGAGTAATACCCGAAGGCAACGAGCCAAGTAGATGTTGGATGATGACATTCCGGGCAAAGAAAAGCATGTAACAACCCTGAATTTGGAGTGGTGCTGGCATATGAAAGGGACAGTGAAGAGGCCAGAGTGGCTGGAACAAAGTGGGTGAGGAAAGTTCTTACAAGCTGAAGTCGAAAACACAAGTGTAGCTAGCTCATGTCAGACCTTGGTGACAAGTGGAATTGGTCTTCATGCTAAAGAGGAATCCATTGGAGGATCCCGAGCAGAGGCTTGCTGATCATTTTGGCTGCTGGATGTGAGCAGATTGCAGAACAATGCTTAGAAACAGAACAGTCAAGAGGTTGTTGCTTTCATGCAGAGGGAGTGGTGGCTTATGAAAAACTGAGTTAACAGTGAAAGTGGCTTTGGATGTGAGGGATTTGGGTGGGGGGAATCTGGAATGACTTCAAACATGTCTGTCCTGGATAGCTTCAGTTGTCAACTTGTCACACCTGGGTAGAGGGACCCTCAATTGAGGAATTTCTTCCATTGGACTGGCCTGTGGCCATGTCTGTGGGACATTTTCTTGATTGTTGAGTGATGTGGGAGGGTCCATCCCACCATTGGTGGTGCCACCCCTGTACAGGTGGCCTTGTGTTATATAAGAAAGCAGGTTGAGCACAGGCCAGAGGAGCAAGCCAGTAAGCAGTGTTCTTCCATGGTCTGTGGGCTCCAAGTTCCTGCCTTGGCTTCCTTTGATGATGGACTGTGCTGTAAGCCAAACAAACCCTTTCGTCCCCAGGTTGGTTTTGGTCAGTGTTTTTATCACAGCAATAGAAAACAAACTAAGATAATCTCCAATTTGTTCCTTGGAGAAATTTTCTTGAAGGGGAGTTATTAGATGAATTTTAAGGGTTCTTTATATATACAACAAAACTATTCATCTGCAAAATTTTCCATTTATACTTCCACTATTCCCTGTGGAATACAGTCTGTAAGAAGTTTTTGAAAGACTAGACAAGGTGGTGTATGCCTATAGTCACAGCAGCTGGAGAATCACTTCAGAAGAGTGAAAACAACTTGCCTTAAAAAAGAAAAAAAAATTTTTTTGAGCAAAAGTGTTCTAGCCAGAATTTTTTTTAATTTATGTAAAAAAAAATCTATTGTATTTCTTTTTATGTGAATGAGTGTGTGGAATGTATGCCACATGTGTGCAAGTTCCCAAGGAGGCCAGAAGATGGTGTCAGATTCCCTGGAGCTGGGGTTATAGGCAATTGTAAGCTCCCCAACACTAGTGCTGGGAACCAAACCCAGGTCCTCTAGAAGAGCAGAAAGCACTCTTAACCACTGAGCCACCTCTTCAACCCCAAGAATTTTTAAACAGCTTTACAAATTACTTTCATTTGCAAAGAATCATTAGGAAGCTGTAGTTTACTTCCCCTTTGCATGTATGTATTGATATATTTTAAGCAGAAAAAGCAAATACAGATTACCAAGGGCTAGGTGTTTCTCTTTGGAACTGGTATTATAGAAATAGCGTGGATTTATTTGGAGTGGGATATCAAGAGAATTTGATAGATGCAAAGAAGAAGAGAAGAGGAGGAGGAAGAAGAGGAAAAAGGAAGGAAAAGGAAGATGAGGAGGGGGAAGAAGAGGAGGAGGAAGAGGAAGTCTTTATCCAAAATGTGATGGGGAACATTTACCTAAAAGAACATGGTAAGAAAGGAGAATTAAGAAAATTAGCAGAGAGGAAGCTAGAGTAATCAGGAGCCTGATTTGCTAAAGCAAGAAGAACATAGAATTTCAGAAAAAAAAAAGATTATTATTTTTCAAAAGGTACTGAAATATCCAGTACAGTAAAGACTGAACAAAAGCCATGAGATTAAGAAAAACACTGTTGAGTTTTTAAGGGTCTTTATAGTGGAATATAGAGAATGGAATTTTAGTGAACAGTTTTGCTAAGTAGGGGAATCAATCAATTGATTCACTCATAGCTCAAAAATCAAAGATGACCTGAGTGTGCTTTTAGGTAAAGAAAGAACAGGACAACTGGAATTGTTTTCAAAAGGACAGGTCTGGGGATGGAGAGATGGCTCAGTGGTTAAGAACACTGGTTGTTCTTGCAGATCTGTGGGTTCAGATTCCAGCACCCACATGCCACATGGCAGCTAACAACTATCAGTAACTCCAGTCCCAGGGGATCCGATAGCCTCTTCTGACCTCCCCCGGCATTGCACGACATGGGTACACTTACCTACATGCAGGCAATACACACATAAAAAAATTTAAAAGAAAAAAAAAAAAAAAAAAAAAAAAAAAAAAAAGGACAGGTCTCCTGAGTGAAGGAGGCCAGCGCGGATACAACACCAAAACATAGAACAAGGGTCCGTGACCTCTCTGAGACCAGAAATGATGGCAACAGTATAAGCAAGCACCTAGCACAATCTTCCAGCTTATTTGTTCACTTATTTATAAATTTGACAGGGCCACAGAATGCCCAGATAGTTGGTCAAACAGTTCAAGGGTGCTTCTGAGTGAGTTTGATGTGTAAATCTGTCTGAGAAAAGTCAATTGCTCTCTTTAATGCTGGCCAGCCTCAGCCAATCAGTGGAAGATCTGACTGTAACAAAAACAGTAAGAATTCCTCCTGCCTGGCACCTTCAAGCTAGGACATCAGTCATCCTCTGCTTTCAAACAGAAAGAAACGTTGGTTCTTAGGTCTTAAATCTATTGAAACTACACCCTTGACTTTCATGGTTCTCAGACCTTCAGACACAGACTAGAGCTATGCCATCTACTTCCTGCCTGCAAATCTGAGAACTTCTCAGCCAACTCCTTATGTTCATGTGTGTGTATATATATGTCTTGCATTAATTATGTTTCTCTGGAGAACCCTAATATACCCAGTCAGCATAAAGTAAGTGAATAGTGAAGATCAAATGACAGATCCAAGGTTGAGAAGGTGGATGCAAAGGGAATGGCTATCCAAAGTGGCTTTTTTCAGGGAGAGAAAAGCCAAGCTAGGTGAGAAATCCTGCTGGTGACAACCTGGAAATAGTATGAGGATGCAAGCATCCATCGCTCTGGATGAATGGAGAAGCCACCAGTCCAATGGTCAACAGCTAGGAGGTTGAGCAAGCACCCCTGCAGGCATTCAGCTCTCTGCATGTGATGTGATGAGAAGTAACAGACAAAGACCAAATGTTATTGGCCACAAGGAAAGGGGAGGAAAACAAACTCCATTGGGCACTTGTTCTGGGGGCTTCCCTGGTCAAATAATCCAATGAATGATCTAAAGGTCCTTTTTTGAGAAAAAATTAATTATTGAGGATGCTTATTAATGTGGTCAGAGGCTGCAAACAGAATAAACTAGAACTTGGATATGAATCTAGCAACAAAGTCCTAGGCAAATGTGACAGTAGTTGTTTACCCACCATGGGAATAGGGCTGAGAGATCTCCAATCCCTATCAAAACTAAAGGAACTGGGAACCCAAGGCAGACACTGAAGATCAGAGGAAAATGACAGGGAGGTAGTCAAGTATCATTCAAGGCAAGAATTCACTCATAAGAACAGGATGGGAAAGATAGAGGGGGTTGTATCATTTTAATAGCTCTACAGAACTCTAATCCTAAAGAGATGGTGAAGTGTCTATCATTAGCAAAGGCACATAGGAGCCCCCATACATTCACTTAATTTGCCAGATTAGCTGCTTCTCCCCATTCTCTCTCCAATGCATGCCCATGGCATGATGTGCACTCAAAACCACCAAGGTCCCACTAATGTGATGATGTCTGCTCCCACAACTGCTTACACACTCATAGTCACAGTTTCCCCAAACCTGCTTATATAAACTAAACTTGTGCTTGGAATTATGGTAATTACGTAGATATCATGTAAACCAATGAAATGCAGCAAAACTCAAGAGATTGCTGCTGACTTGTCAACAAGACAACTTAAAAGTCAAAAAAGTTAGTAAAAATTCTACACGTATTTTACTGACAAATGGAATACATTGTTTTAGGTTAAAGTAAAAAGGTTAGCATATGTATTTATGTGTGTGTGTGTGTGTGTATGTGTGTGTTGGAATTAGACCTCTCACCATACTAATGTTATGTTCTGCCACTGAAGTATGCCCCTAGCCATGTATCATTTTAAAAAATTTCCCTGTTTTAATCGATTGTTTCCATCCACCACCACCTACAGTGTTGTGTAAGAGAGCTTTTATGATGCCTAGTGTTGTGAAGAGGCTCTTCAGCATTCTTTCTGTAAAAGCACAACCTGTTTAGAAAAGCAGAATTGAAAACTGGAGTCCACATTCTTTTGTGACTCCATTTAAACATTTTCACACAAACTGTCATTACAGAGCACACGTGTCTGCTCAGATTGTTCCTCTAAATCTTAGGGGTACAGTTGCTCTTACATAATAAACTTTATCTAATGGACATTTATAGATCACTGGTGTTCATAAATCACCAGGAATTATGCATCTGCAGACTAGGTCATTTGTTGATGTTGTTTTACTATATTTCAATATGTGCAATATTTTAATAGCCTCTATAAAGAATCTTAGAAATGATCTAGTATATGAGAGGTGAGCTGGTGGAAATGTGACTCAGTGGCAGAGTACTTGCTTAGCATCTGTAAGGCTGTGGGTTCTACTCTGAGAACCAAAAATAAATGAATGAAAAATTTTAAACAGATGAGTAAACTTGACGATTAGATTTAAAGAAAATCTTCCTAATGTTAAAAAAATTATATTGAAATAAAATTAAGGGGCATGTTTATGGTCCTTTGCATTGTATCTTCCCCAGTGTATGTAGCACTTTAAGGATTTCAAAGCAATCAGAAATCATATCATAAGCTGTTCTGATTCCTATGTATCAAATTATTCTCCCTTCTGCTAGCTGGACTACCTCCTGCCAGACACTAATTTAAAGGTCAACATTTTCTTCCAGGTGAATCAATTGAGCATTACATCCATTACTGAACAGGAAACCTGAAGAACAGGGGTTATTTTGATCATGGATGTCAGAGGCAGGCAGTCTGGCCTCCTCTGCCCACTCTGTCCCACAGTGTCATCAGGAGCCTCCAGCCCTCCCTGCTCTCTTGCCAGCCAGTCTCCACCTGGGCTTGTCAGATCATGATTAGCCAGTTAGTATTTAAGTTTGCTTTGGTAGAAGCAATGGGAAGCAAAAAAGAAGCATGGCCATTGAGCTGGCCTTCCCTCAAAGAGGTTTTCTGGGACCTCTAATAATTTCCTCTTAGATCTGCTCTCCAGCTATGTCCTATGGCTACTTCTGTCTCCAAGACAGGCTGGGAAGTGTAGTTTTTGGCTGAAGCAGCTAGTAAGGAAGAAGGAAAGAAAAAGAAGACCAACAAACTGTCTCTCATGGGTGGACTTTGACTTTAGTAAAGAATGAATGTGCCGTGCTTAGACACTGTAGGCACTAGTACTTGAAAAACTGCTATATTGGTTTACTGGATGCTGGGGCTGAGTTCTTGGTCTGGGGCCACCACTGCTTCCTGATCCCTTGCATCCAGAAAGACCCAGTTCCTTCTTGAGGTCCCCAGGAGCACTCTGGGCCTGGTCCCACCCTCGCCTCCCTCTGCTTTCCTGGGCCTGCACGACCTGCCAGCCTCCCTTTGGGTAAGTCAATTGCCCACTGCGCCTTGACTCCCCCAGCCTCATTCACCCTCTCATCTCCCCCACCTGTCTCTCCTCCTAGCCTGGGTCCTGTCCCATTCGTCGTCTTGGCACCTCAGACACGGGGGAACCAACATTGCTTCATGTTCCTTTGCATCTAGACCAACCCAGTTCCCTTTTGGGGTCCCCAGGAGCCCTTGGGGCCTGGTCCCACCCTCACCTCAAACGACCTGAAGAGTAAAAATAAATTGGTTTATCTGGGCCAACTGTATGGCCTTAAACACCCAAAAGGAAAATATAACCAAAGATTAAAGGGGCCAATATAATTTTTTAAGAGTCCATATGTGTAGCTAAAGGCTACATACCAAGCAACAATGCCAGATAGGAGATACCTTCTTTTGAGTTGTTGGCCAGGGTGGCCCAAGGGGACTCTCAGATAGTAACCCAGCATAAAACTGGGAAAATAAACAGCAGACCCCAATCTTATCTAAAGGAATATTGACAACTGATTGCTGCTAGATGAGGAACAGTTGACCTTCCTAAAACAAAGACCTCTAGACAGACTTACTAGATTCACCAGATGGACAAGTAGCAGGGAATGGCTGGGGGTGCCAACAACACAGTGGACAGTAGCGGGGATAACAGAGTAAAAGGGCTCTAGTGGGGGGAGGGAGGCTATGGGAGGGCACCATCTGGGAAGTGGGTGTATAGTTGAATAAGATGGTTTGGGATGTTCTGTGTGATATACACACACAGAAAAAAAAGCAACAAATTTTTAAAAATATTATATTTGAGAAGGAAACATAAAAGTTTATGTCCTGTTAATTAGTAGAGGTGATGAACATTACCATTGAAATCTGCCCAATGACTTTATAGACATACAAAGGCACCAATGGTCTGAGTGCAAATGATTATGACTAGTAATAATCAGATACATACAGATTAGAGACGCATGCACCAACATCTCAATGTTAGTAGTAAAAACAATGAGTCTTTCTATAAGAAACAGTATGTTTTAGAATGAAATGGAGATCTCTTTTGAGGGTTAAAAACTCATTCAATTTTATGTCTTATAGGGCTTATACTGAGTTCAATATTGTATAACTGTATTGATTCAATAGAGAACCTAGAAATTTTATAGCCACTTTTGAAGGAGCTGTGTTATTGCTCTAGAAACTGTTATTGGGCATGTTAAAGCTGTAATGATATGCTTCTTCTTAAAAAAATTAAAAAATAATATTAAAAAATGTAGGGAACAGCATATCTTCAAATGGAGATCTTCTTTAAAGGGTAAAAACTCATTCAATTTTATATCTTACAGGGTCTATACTGAGTTCAATCCTATATAACTGTATTAATTCAACTGTGAACCTAAAAATTTATAGCCACTCTTAAATGGAGATCTTTTTTAAAGGTTAAAAACTCATTCAATTTTATGTCTTACAGGGCTTATACTGAGTTCAATATTGTATCACTGTATTAATTCAACTGTGAACCTAAAAATTTACAGCCACCTTTGAAAGATGTATCCTTGCTCTGGAATGTCTTACTGAATATGTTAAAGCTGTAATGAAATGCTTCTTCTAATCATGTGGTTATTAAATTTAAAAAAATTTAAAAATTCTTCAAAGCATAAAAATTTGCTAGTTAATAATTAGTAGATGTAAGAAACATTACCATTGAAATCTACCTGATGACTTTATATCCATGCTCAGATGCCAAGGAGCTCAGAAAGTAACCTACTGTCACTAGTAATAATCAGATATATAGAGATTAGAAATGCATGTGTAAACATCTTAGTGTCAATTGCACTAAAAATGAATTTTTCTATACTACACTGTGTATTTTAAAAATGAAACTGAGATCTTTTTTAAAGGTTAAAACTTCATTTAATTTTATGTCTTAAAGGGTTTATACTGAGTACAATGTTTTATAACTGTATTAATTCAACTATAAACCTAAAAATTTACAGCCAATCTTGAAAATATGCATCTTAGCCCTAGAAATTGTTAATGAATATGTCAATGCTGTTGTCATGAAATGCTTCTTCTAATTATATGGTTATTAAATAAATAATTGTTTAAAAAACCTGCTAGCTGTTATTTTGTTAGAAAAAAACTGAACAAGTGGTGGTTGCCAGTTGTCTTTTTTTTTACATTTATTTATTTGTTTGTTTGTTTGTTTGTTTATCATTTAATGTGTGTGAGAATGTGTGTGCTTATGTGTGGGCATATGTGCCCAGAAGTCAAAGGGCAACTTGCAGGAGTTGCTTCTCTCCTTCTACTATAGGGGTTCCAGGGAACAAATTCAAGTTGCCAGTCTTAGCAGCATACACTTATGTACCATGCGTCATCTCACCAACCTCAGATTTCTTTTATAGTAATTACTAAAGAAATTTTCATACATATAATAGATTCAATGTCATAATACATAATTTTAGTAGGAAAACAAATTTTTACTAAATTAACATTAGGTATTGAAATATTGGTACAGAACTTTCAAATCTCATTTTATTCAATATTATTATTTGGGTAGCAATGAAAAGGTATTGAAGCAGAAGATGTAATTAAGTTGGTCTTATGCTTGCCTAGCATTCACAAAACCCTGGTTTGGATTCCAAGCACCATATTAAACTGAGCATGGTGTTGCACACCTGTAATCCCAGCATTCAGGAGGAGGAGGCAGAAGCATCTGAAGTTCAAGGTCATCCTCAGCTACACAGTGAATTGGAGGCCAACATAGGGATATAGATTCTGTCTCCAAAATAAGGGATGGGAGAGGAATGTAGTCTCAAAACTTGTAAGCACAAATGGCCTGTTTGTAATTTGGAAAACATTTGTTGTTTTAATTATAATTGAATTATTATGTATTTGATCCTAAGTAAAGTATATTCAGGTTGGTGGCATGTTGAGCAAATAACACTTGTTGAATCAGACATGTATTTGTATTGTTTGTACACTGTTAAGTAAAGACGTTAGCCTTAGAAGAATGTATCTGTGAGGACCCTGGGTTTTTGTGAGTGAGAAGCAATACTAGTTTGTGATAACTGTTACTACTTAGCATGACAATGCCAGATTTTATGAAAGGTCCTAGATTTTATAAAATTAAGGAAAAGAAAAATACAAATTTTATTAGAAAACTAACCATTTGAACCACTTTATGGAAATAAAAAAATAAGCAGAATTTCATGGATGTAGAAGCACCTCTTGGGGGTGCAGAGATGGCACAGTGATTAAGAGCACTTGGTGTTCTTCCAGAAGATCTGAGTGTGGATCCCAGCATCCACACTGGATAGCTAACAACCACCTATGACTCCAGCTCCAGGAGATCCAACTTCCTCTTCTGGCCTCTGTGGGCACCCACACACATTGCATGCACGCACACACACACACACACACATACACAAAATAAATCTTTTTCTCAGAAACCATCTGGCTGGGAATGTGACTCAGTGGAAGAGTGCTGACCTAACACTGAGGCCCGTGGTTTGATCCCTGCATCTAAAAAACAGTAATAAAAAGCACCTAGTGCTGGCATCTGCCTTTTGCATGTGATACAAGTGTGCAGTCAATCTTATGATAAAACAAAAAGCAGAACCCAACCCAATGTCTTTATTCTAGAATTTGATCATAGCAATTACTTTTAAATGAGTACACCAAAAAATAGTTCATATAAAGTATTTGCTAAACGATTATCTTTTAAATGAACTCAATATAAAAAGTGTGTGTGTGCCGGGTGTGGTGGCGCATGCCTTTAATCCCAGCACTCGGGAGGCAGAGGCAGGTGGATCTCTGTGAGTCTGAGGCCAGCCTGGTCTCCATAGTGAATCCAGGCCAGCTGGGACTACAGGGGGACGCTGTCGTGAAAAGACCAAAAAAAAAAAAAAAAAAAGTGTGTGTGTGTGTGTGTGTGTGTGTGTGTGTGTATAAAGCAAACAAATCGAAGTATTGAAAAAGTCTTTCTGCATAGAAATCATTACGCTTAATGCTTTATAAAGACTCCTACCTCTCAACCTGTACTGTAATTCTGATAGTTATCACTCCAACACAAGGAATGGCATGGAAAGGGTGTATTCAGAAGAACCGTGTGTTCCATACAATGGCTGCGGAGCTGTGACTCAAATTTAGATGATTCTAGAGCTATGCTGGTTCTTCTCCTCCAGGCCTCCGAAGCACAAATGGCTGATGAAAATGACTTACTTCTTTATTTCTCATGTAGCAATTTGGGCTTTGATGTTGCTCGTAGGTGCGCTGTAGTTTTCATTTTCAGATCTATGCAATGTAATTTTGGTTGAAGTTTACTTTGCAAAGACAATCTAGTCAATACAAAAGAAATGAATAATTGATTATTTCAGTTTGCAAAGTTCAAACCCAGATTTTTCCCCTTTAATAATAAGGTTTATCTTTTTTCCCTACAATTACCAAAAGCACTTGATTCTATTAGCCAACATATATCATTTGTGTATATATTCAAGTTATCGTTTTTATGTACTATAGTTCCACTAAGAGGTGGCATATGCTTCTCTCTTTTTTCCTAACTTCCTTTCTTTTGAGCTTGTTCTTGTTTGCCCTTGACTTCATTTTACTCCATCACTTATAGTTAAGGTTATATAATATATTATATATATACAGTATATATATAAATTTTTGTGTATGCATGTTTTGCCTGCATGTATGTAAATGCAGAACATGCATGCAATACCCACAGAGGCTAGAACAGTGTGTCAGATCCCCTGGAACTGGAGTTATGGACTGGACTGTTGTTAGTACCATATAGGTGCTGGAAATGGAACTCAGGTCCTCTGCAAGAGAGCTGTTCTTAACCACTGAGCCATCTCTCCAATCCCATAATAAAGGTGTTTTAAGATAACTCTTATCCTTTAAATTGTTTCATTTAATCTGGACATGGTGGTGCACACCTGTAATCCCTGCATTCACGAGGCTAAGACTGAAGGATCCAGAGTTGAAAGCCAGCCTGGACCAGGCTCCAGTGGATGAACTCACACTGAGAAACATCTAGGGATACCATTTTGACTCAATAGGCCGTAATCTATGTGACAGAATGCATGAAGTCCAGTAAGGGGTAGGGGGACAATGGGGTGGGTATAGATAGGGGATAGGGTCTAAATATGATTTAGATGTATGAAATGCAAAAAAAATTAATAAAGTACATATTGTAAAATTTAAGAAAAGAACATGTCATAAATATCTGCACGGATATT